TGCAGTCTCCCTGGCTGACCCCTCTGGGGGTCCTGTCCTCTCTCACTTCTCCACTGTCCTCCCGTGTCCGGCTGCCCCCTCGGGCACCTTGTCTGGTCTGTACCTCCCCTCGTTCTCGACGAACTTGGTGAGTGGTGCTGACTTGCAGGATGCGGGGGTTCACCAGTTTACTCCTGCGAGTCAGCGGGTGACCCACTGCTCGGATGCCCGCACAGGCCGACACCTGGCCACGTTCTCGCGTCGGCCAGGGTCGAGTCTCTACACACTGACCACTGCGTCTCTCCTGTCCCTGCGTCTGGCCAGGTAGCTGCGCGTCGGGTCAGGTGTTTTGCTGCTGCGTCCAGGTCTGGTCCTGAGTCTGCCCCCTGCTCGTGTCGCCGCCTGTCTCACGAGACTCTCTGTGGCACCACCGTCTTGGCCACCCCTCCTTGCTTCGTCTTCGGGGCATGGCTTCCCGTGTCCTTGTCTCTGGTCTTCCCCGGTCTCTCCCTCCCCTCCCTTCGGGGACCGGACCTTCTTGTGTCCCCTGTGTCGAGGGGCGGCTCCGGGCTGCCCCTCACTCCTCTCAGTTTCCCCCGACAGAGGCTCCTCTGCAGACGCTTCACATGGACGTGTGGGGCCCCGCCCGCGTCCGTGGGCAGGGTCACGAGCGCTACTTCCTGCTGGTGGTTGACGACTACTCGCGTTACACCACAGTCTTCCCCTTGCGCAGCAAGGGTGATGTCACTGAGGTGTTGATCGACTGGATCCGCGCAGCTCGTCTCCAGCTCAGGAGGAGCTTCGGCTCGGACTTTCCTGTTCTGCGTCTGCACTCTGACCGAGGTGGAGAGTTCTCTCTCTCTGGCCTTCTGCGAGCCTACTGTCGTGCACGAGGCATCCGCCAGACCTTTACGCTTCCGGACTCTCCACAGCAAAATGGGATTGCTGAGCGCCGCATTGGCATGGTCATGGACGTCGCTCGTACGTCCATGATGCATGCGGCTGCCCCCCATTTTCTGTGGCCGTTTGCGGTTCGGTACGCGGCGCATCAGATCAACCTTCACCCCAGGGTCTCCCGGCCGGAGACCTCCCCAGCTCTGCTGTGGACGGGGAAGGTCGGCGATGCGTCTGCGTTCCGTGTCTGGGGATCTCGGGCGTTTGTCCGCGACTTGTCTGCGGACAAGCTGTCCCCTCGTGCTGCTCCCTGTGTCTTCCTCGGCTTCCCCCTGACGCTCCAGGGTGGCAGTTCTACCACCCCTCCTCTCGTCGTGTTCTGTCCTCCCAGGACGTCACGTTCGACGAGTCAGTCCCCTTCTACCGCCTCTTCCCCTACCGCACTCCTTCCCTCCCCCGCCACCGCACTTCCTTGTGCCAGGTCCCCCCCCCGGTAGACCCCCTTCCCCCTCAGGGTCCTGCCCCTTCAGTGTGTGTCCCAGGTAGACGCAGTCGAGCCGGTCGAGGTTGCTGGTGACTCTGGTCCTGCTGCGGGTGCTGAGCCTGGGGGTGCTGTCTGAGTCTGGGGTGCTGAGCCTGGGGTACTGCGACTGGGGGTGCTGAGCCTGGGGGTGCGGGAGTCTGGGAGTGCTGAGCCTGGGGGTGCTGCGACTGGGGGTGCTGAGCCTGGGGGTGCGGAGTCTGGGGTGCTGAGCCGTGGGGTGCTGCTACTGGGGGTGCTGAGCCAGGGGGTGCTGCGTCTGGAGGTGCTGAGCCTGGAGCTGCGGAGCCTGCGGCCACTGGACCTCCCCTTGTGGCGTCTGGCGGTGCGGGACCTGGCGGTTCTCCGGGTGCTTCGCCTCGGCGGGAGCCCTCTCTCCACAGGAGCTGCGCGAGTGGTTTGCCCGGCGCTAGAGGCGTGCTGCTGGAGCTGGAGGTTCTTCGGCTACTGAGGGTGCTGGTGCCGCGGGTCCCGGAGGTGCTGGAGCTGGAGCTGCTGAGGGCGTTGGCGCTGAGGCTACTGCTGTCGGTCCTGGAGGCGGTCCTGCTGGGGGTGCTACTGGTGCTGCTGGAGGTCCTGGAGCTGGAGGTGCTACTGGCGCTGGTGCTGCCGCTGGGGGTACTGGTGCTGTCCCTGCTGTGTCTGGAGTCGCCGCGCGGCCTAGACCGTACTTCGTTCCGCTCCTTCAGCAGGTTCTTGGTCTCCCGCCTTCTACTGGTCCTCCTCCTCCCTTAGAGTGTCCACAGCCTGTCCTGTCACAGTTACAGTTACAGCCGGCCTCCCCACTGCCCGCTCCTTCTCCCTACACTGGTCCTACTGGAGGTCTTGCTGAGCGTCGTGAGCCTGCGTCTCGCCCTGCGTCGCCTGTCCGTGCTGCTCGCACTAGTGGTCGTGGTTCGCGTCAGCGTCCTCCTCCTGTCCCTGGCACGCACCGGATGTCTCTGCGTCCGTCCACTGCTCCTCTGCGTGCCCCTTTGCCTTCTCCTCCTGAGTCCTCTCTTCCTGCTCTTCCTGACCCGGAGTCGGACTCTCTTCGTGCTGCCAGTCCTGCTGTCACACGTCTCCTTGCTACTGTCGTCACTGACCCCTCTTTTGAGTCCACTGCTGCGTCTGCGCTTGTTGCTGAGCTCGTCGACTTTGCTGCTCGCTGTCGTCTAGACTACGCTGCCGGTCTTGTTGCTGAGTCTGCGTCTGTCTGTCCTCCGTCCGTCGGGGGTGAGTGTGCTCTTGGCACGGACGTCCTTGAGGACAGGCAGGAGGAGTTCAGGTGTCTGGCTGCTGCTTCACCTCATCTCGCGTCCGTACTACTTGCCCCTGAGGGAGACCCGGATGCACTAGACATCCCGACTCCGCGCTCTTACGCGGAGGCCGTAGAGGGTCCCTACTCCTCTCAGTGGCAGGCAGCTATGGATGCAGAGATGGCGTCCTGGAAGTCCACAGGCACCTACGTTGACGCGGTTCCCCCTCCTGGGGCGAACATCGTCAGTGGCATGTGGATCTTCAGGGTGAAGCGGCCGCCGGGCTCTCCCACCTGTCTTCAAGGCGCGGTACGTCGCTCGTGGCTTCAGTCAGCGGCAGGGAGTTGACTACTTTCAGACCTTCTCTCCCACCCCGAAGATGACCACTCTTCGGGTGCTGCTGCACATAGCCGCTCAGCGCGACTACGAGCTCCACTCTCTTGACTTCAGTACTGCTTTCTTGCAGGGTAGCCTGCACGAGGAGATCTGGCTGCGCCGTCCACCTGGCTTCACTGGGACTTTTCCTCCTGGCACCCAGTGGAGCCTCCGACGGCCAGTCTACGGTCTCCGCAGGCACCGCGTGAGTGGCACGACACACTGAGGACTACGCTTGCGGCTCTTGGGTTTGCTCCCTCTACTGCTGACCCGTCGTTGTTTCTGCGACACCGACACTTCTTTGCCGCCGTTCTACGTCCTCGTGTATCGTCGACGACTTGGTCTTTGCCACAGCTGACACTGCTGGACTAGCCTACGTGAAGTCCGAGCTGCAGAAGAGACACACGTGCACAGACCTGGGTGAACTGCGCAGCTACCTTGGCTTGCAGATCACTCGGGACAGAGCACGCCGCACCATTACCTTGACTCAGTCACACATGGTGCAGCAGGTCCTTCAGCGCTTCGGCCTTCACGTACTCCTCGCCTCAGGCCACTCCTCTGTCTACTCGCCACTCGCTCTCAGCTCTGCCTTCGGATGAGTCCGTAGAGTCGAGTGGCCCGTACCCCAGAGCTTGTTGGCTGCCTCATGTACCTGATGACCTGCACACGACCTGACCTTGCATACCCTCTTAGCATTCTTTCACGCTATGTCTGCTCCTGGGAGACACCGACCAGAGCACATGGCTGCAGCGAAGAGGGTGTGTTGCGCTACTTGTGCAGTACGTCGGGCATGGGGCTAGTGCTTGGAGGCGGAGTCCAGTGGTCCTCACTGGGCCACGCGGACGCTTCTTGGGCAGACGACCAGGCTACACAGCGGTCGTCGCAGGGTTACACCTTCAGTCTTGGTTCCGGCTCTGTCTCGTGGCGGGCTACTCGCTCGTCCTCTGTTCTCAGCTCCAGTTGTGAGGCTGAGATCTACGCCGGGGCCATGGCTGCACAGGAGCTTCGCTGGCTCACCTACCTGCTGACTGACCTTGGAGAGCCGCCTCGTTCTCCTCCAGTGTTGTACGTAGACAACAAGGCCATGCTGGCCTTGTGTCGAGAGCAGCGCTTGGAGCACAGAACGAAGCACATTGCTCTCCGTTACTTTCTTGCTCGTGAGCTGCAGCAGCGTGGTCAGTTGCGACTTGCGTACGTGGCCTCTGAGGCCAACACTGCTGATGTGTTCACCAAGGCACTTGCGCCTTGTGACCATCAGCGCTTCTGCACCCAGCTGGGTCTTGTACCTGTCTTGCCTCACTTGCTCTCTTCCTTGACCTTGCTTGTACTGTCACATATATATTCCTGCTCTTGCTTGTCTAGCTCTATATATATATGTGTACTCCTGCATGTGAACTGGCCCTGTTGCCCTGTCGTTTGTGCTCGGACTGTGTGGTGACTTTGTGATCCACCCTGAGCTTGCTCTGCTTTGCTTGACTGGTCTTGTGACCCCTTGTTCTCCCCCACTTTGCCTATGGGGGTGTGTCAGAACATATATATAGCTTATGCTGTTGTGTAGGCTATAGTGGGGTATCCCATAGGGGGTACAACCCAATTAGGGTTTCCCATATGTACTCACTTCATTCATAGTTCATTCATTCTCGTTCTACTCTTCTCAGTCAGGTCCCGAGCCAACCCCACCACCACTCCCACCACCTGCTCCACCGCCACCGCCACTACCCACACCACCTCCAGTACCCCCGCCGCCCTTCCTGCCCCTCTTACGAGCCTTGCCACGTTTCTGCCCGCTAGAGACAGAAACAGCCGCCGTCTCCTCAGAGGCAGAAGACGTGGGGGTGGCAAGTGAGGCAGAGAAGGTGGGAAGCTGTGGTACTGCACCACCCTCAAAAAGACGAGGAGGAGGCGCGGAAGAGGCAGAGGCAACAGTGAGGAGGTTACTCTCGATCTTCGAGAGAGCAGTCTCAAGAAGATTGATGGTAAGCTCAGGTGGGGTGCTTCAGAAGAAGCGCGTCGCAGGCTGTGGCTGGGCGAGTCAGGGAGGCGAGTGACTAGCCAGTGAATAGTGAGCCACATAGGGGGTGGGGCAAGGGCAAGCTGGTCCTCAGTGCAAGCAGCGCGAAAGCGAGCATCAAGGGAGCGCAGGTGAGTAGCGAGTCAGAGACAGTCTCAAAGGAGGCGAGGTCAGGGTAGATAAAGGGTACGAGGAGGCGACTGAGCGAAGCAGAGGAGGGAGTGGAGTAGCGAGTAATAATAGCCTTATACAGATCTACAGCAGACTCGACCTGAGCGAAGTGGACTGCCTCTGTCGGCGGGAGAAGGTCGGTCAGGGCGAGGCAGGCAAGCGGCGTCACGAGACTCCCACACGTCGCGAGCGAGGAGCTGGCGCTGGTAGTCCGGCCTCCTGCTCAGAAGTAGGCGGTGGGGTAGTGGGCAGCTGCTGAGGCTGCGGAGGGGCGGTCTGAGTGCCGGACGCGGTGTGCGAACAGGTGCACGCCATCCTGCCGCTGGCTCTTAAGGTGGCGCTGCGCCTGCGTAAGCCACGTACTAAAGTCAATCGGTCTCCCTTCAGGGTCAAATCGAAGTATTCGGGAGGTCGCCCTAGGGGGGCGAAACTGAGAGAGCGCGGCTGCCAAACCGCAGGAGGGGGAGACAGTCAGTGGCGTTGTGGGCAAGGCGCGCAGGCGTTGCAGGTGGGCAGGCGGCGCGGCATGCGGACAGCGCGGGCGGCGCGGCGCGCTGGCTGGCGGGCGGCGCGGCGCGCTGGCTGGCGAGCGGCGCGGCGCGCTGGCTGCGTGGGCAGGCGGCGTGGGTTGCGCTGTGGCGGTGGCGCGCTGGCCTGTGCGCGCGGCGAGGCGCGCTGGCTAGTGCGCGCTGGCGAGCTGCGCGCTGTCATGACGCGCTGGCGGGCGCGCTGGCTGACGCGCTGGCGGGCGCGCTGGCGGGGGCGACGCTGGCGTGCGCGCTGGCAGGCCTGCTGGCTAGGGCACTGGCGGGCCTGATGGCTAGGGCGCTGGCGGGGCCTGCTGGCTAGGGCGCTGACGGGCCTGTTGGCTAGGGTGCTGGCGGGCCTGATGGCTAAGGCGCTGGCGGGCCTGCTGGCTAGGGCGCTGGCGGGGCCTGCTGGCTAAGGCGCTAGCGGGCCTGCTGGCTAGGGCGCTGGCGGGCCTGCTGGCTAGGGCGCTGGCGGGCCTGCTGGCTAGCGTGCTTAGGGCAGACGGGGGGGGGGGGGGTTCACGCCAAGGCTACGGTAGTGACGGCCGAAGTCTAGGAACGGCGGAGACTAAGTGTGGCCTAGAACGGCGAAACCTACTGCTGATACCATCTCAGAAACTAAACACAGCGGAATGGGTTGGATTGATTGGGTTGGGGTACAAATGCCTAACCCTAACTATTTGTACCCCATATAGCATGACCCACTAGAGGCTTTAACATTTGACAGAACTCTGATTAGTCAGAGTTACCAGTTGTGATTAGTCTGATTGCATTTTGAGGGTTTGCACCGTACAGCATGCACTTATTTAAGTATCCAACCAAGGCTCCTAGGAAACTACTAAAAGCTACAACAACAACAACAACAACAACAACTACTACTACTACTACTACTACTATTACTACTACTACTACTACTACTACTACTACTACTACTACTACTACTACTACTACTACTACTACTACTACTACTACTACTACTACTACTACTACTACTACTACTACTACTACTACTACTACTACTACTACTACTACTACTACTACTACTACTACTACTACTACTACTACTACTACTACTACTACTACTACTACTACTACTACTACTACTACTACTACTACTACTACTACTACTACTACTACTACTACTACTACTACTACTACTACTACTACTACTACTACTACTACTACTACTACTACTACTACTACTACTACTATACTAGCCTATCCTATATAACTACCGTACGATTAGTCAGTCATAATCATTCACATTCAAGAGCATCATCATCATCTCCTAAGTCAACTACGTCCAAATGATCTGCATGATCCTTGCCCTGCTTGCTCTGTTGCCTTGCTGCATCGATTGGAGCGTTCCTGTGGGGCTTGCGCTTCTTGTAGCTGCGCCAGATTGTGACAATCTCGTCCCACTTGGGCTCATACTGCATGAGGCTCATGCACATGAGATCCCCAAGCCGTGCATCCTTGATCGCCCCTCGCTGTCACGACTTGATGATATTCTGCCGCGAGAACCCACGCTCGCACTCCACGGTGCTTAGCGGCAGAACTGCTACCGCCACCCACAACTGCACCAAATTGGGGTAGTTCTCCCGCCAGTCCGGCGTCTTCAGCATGGCAGTGAGTCCAGCATGGAAACTATGCTCGTTCCTGCTGGTCGCCTGCAAGCACCGAGGTGAACATGCGCAGCTCCTTCTGTGCACGTCGCTTGTTGATTCCTGAAGGGCGTTTAAAGGTATAACAATGAAAAGTGGAACATACAAAAATAGAACATTTGACCGAAGTAGCACCACATCACATACAACCATACAGAGATGAAAAAGGTAAAGCACATATACATTTACAGTAGAGTACGGCTTTACCAGGCAGGATTTCTTCGCTCTTGTCAGCCTTGAACAGAGTGGCCAGGGACGACAACCACTGAAGGCATCTGGCGTTCCTCTCTCCTCGGTCCAGTGGATACTCGTCAGGGGTGAACAGCTTGGCCCCTGCCATTCCCTCCAGGTCGCCAAGCCGGGACTCCAGCTCATGGACGATCTTCTCCGCGAACGCGGTGCAGACGTCCACGCAGCCATCGTGCGTGGCGGGCCCCTCAAAATCCTCCACGTCGTCCTCATGCAGCTTGAACTTGAAGCGCGCGAGTCGCCCGTCGGAGTCAACACCCTCGACTGTCACCTCCCTGTTTCCTCCTGGCCCATGACGCGCGAGGAAAGGGGATAGCCGCTCGCTTACGCCGCCACCGAAGTCGTCCCCGCAGTCAACATAGCGCGACTCGATGTGAGAGGTGGTGCGCCTTATCTGCCCATAGACGACGGCATAATCCAGCTGGGTTGAACACGGAAAGAAAACGAATGTTAGTGAAAAACAGTGTACAATGATAAAGCAAACATACTATGTCATTGAAAAATTCCAGTGGCATGCTCACCTCTTTGTGCTGGAAGGCCCTGTTCAATATGTTCAGCTGCTCAAGCACGCCAGCAATAAAAAAAAGGAGGAAATGAAACCCGTAGCTTGTCACCAGTGCATACAAGTCAGCATCCCACTTCTTCATCATCACGATCAGCGCTGGAAGCATGGTGATAAAACGCAGCACAGCATCGCCCCGCGAGAGCCAGCGAACTGCATGGATCCCTTGCAGTTCCAAGCTCGTTGAGGTGAACACGTCCTGGAGATCCATGAACCTCTGGTGCCACGGGCCCGACCTGCCGAGGTGCTCAGCCACGGTGCGAATCACCTTGTCGACGACATTGAAGGCGGGGATGTTCTCAGCAGCATGTTTGGCAGCCAGAGCCTCCCTGAAACGCATACAAGAAAGGTTAGAAAGCCGTCTAAAAAAAAAAGGCTAGCACAAAGACCTGTACAAGAGCCCATGTACCTGTGCGCGATGCAGTGCAAGACACCAAATGGGGTATGCGCAGGCGGAGGCGTGTCACCAAGCCCGAATTGCTACCCATCATGACGTTGGCACCATCAGTGCTGATGCCGGATATCCGCCTCAGGTCGATGCCGACTGCCTGCAGGTGCAAAACTAGGAGACTGACCCGTGTGGCAGCGTCCCCCTTGTCTACGGTGATGAGGGTCATGAACTCCGTCGCCACTTTGCTGTCGCGGATGAAAGTCACGTACAGTATCAAGTGTTTCCCACTGCACCGATCCGTGCTCTCATCGAGGGAGATGCCGATGAAGGGACTTGTGAGCACGTGTTCCAGCTGGGTTGTCTGAAGCCACGTTGCCGTCGCCTGCGTTAACTCCTCGAAGCCGTACCTGCACGACAAATATTATTGTCAGTTACCGTTTCACATCGAACATAGAAAGCACCAACTCATACTAGGTACATAGCAAAGCATCACTTACGTGGTGTAGTATGTGCCGTAGCCCTTCTTGGGAAATCCCTTTACGTCCTTCTCCGCCAAGTACCGAACAAGCTTCACCCACAGTCCCATTGGCGCGTCGCACTTGCTGACAAACAGCAACGAGTCAAGAAGGGACTCGACGCGCAGCTTCTCCTCGTCGACCGTGACTCGAAGTTGGCCTATCAGCGGCTGCCGAGCCCCGCACTCCTTCAGAGCGGTGAACTTCGCCATCGCCAGCTTGTGCTTCTGTGTGCCGGCGTGCTTACGGAAGGACTGTGTTTGCACGTCTGTAGCACCTTTCCCGCGCCTCCCACATTTGCCTGCGTCACCAGCATGGGCTTCACACACACTGCACTTAAATCCAGGAAGACCAGAGGAGGTTTTCATTAGCATGAGCCAGGGAAAACGAGCAGACCACTGTGACTTAAACTTGTCGTGTGCATCCTCATACACATCTGCGATGAGCTGGTCCATATCGATGTTCAACCGTGGACGAGGCCTTTCAGATGGGCCGGCAACGTTGTTCTCGACCACAGCCGTCGCATACGTCTTCCAGAAGCTAAGCGTCGCCTGCTTAAGTCGGACGTTGCGCGCTGCAGCAGCAGTGGCGGGCGGCTTCACGACATGTTGTGCTGCAGAACCAACGGTAGGTTCTTCATCCATCGACTCAGCAGTATCAGGTGGAGTTGAGACACCGGGTGCAGCTTCCTTCGGGGAAGGGATTGTGTCAGGCGCAGAACGTGCAACCCTCTCTAGTGCTAGCGAGCTAAGCAGAAAGTCTAGGCCGGTTTTAGCATGAGGGACTGCATCATCGTCATCGCCTGAGGCAGAACCAACCTGAATCGCCATGGTGGGCACTAGAGAGGTGGTGCCGGTAGACAAAAAGCACTGGGACTGGGACCAGACAAGGCTGCTGAAGCATGAGGTGGGGTTGAAACCCTAGCTCTGATGATGGCTCTTTACCCCTTCGTGGGCCATCGTTCCAGCGGGCTGTGGTTGCCTACCATGCACGCCAAACCACGAGCCGCTACTGCCGTGCACTGCTGTCTGCAGTGTAACGTGGCTGCCAAATGCAGCAACGTGGGTACCGTTGGAGTCCTGTGTGGCTAGAAAAAGCTGCCAAAAGGACCAATCAACACCCAAAGCTGGTGTGCGCTGGTGCTTACGAGGGGGGAAACCGCTCCGCAGGGCGGCGTCGCTGTGGAAAACTGATGGGCTGTCCCTGATAAAGCGTGATTGACGGGGTAGCAGTCTAGTGCCACCGTCAATCCCGGGTTTCGGCGCCAAACCAGGTACATTGAATCAGAGTAGGTTCTCGTTTCGAGTCTGTTGAATCAGAGTACACTCCTAAAAAAACTCTGAAATTTCAGAGTAAGCTTAAAAAAAAATCTGAACTTTCAGAGTTGAGGCCATAAAAAAATCTGAACTTTCAGAGTAGCCATTAAAAAAAGTCTGGAAAATCAGAGTTTTTCATGCAAATCAGAGAAATATCTCTGACTTCTGGGGGCCTGCAAAAGACCTACACTAAGAATGTCCGATTCATTCTAGAGAAGGGTTACATGCTTGCTACCATGGGGGGTTGTGGGCGTATTGACCCGCTACTTAACAAGCTTCTTTATCCCAGCGATCTATTTGTTGGTGTTCTGACATGGTATCAAAGCGAAGGTATCGGATTCGAGCCCTCATGTGCGCACATGCTGGTGGTGTCGTTGTGTGGTGTCATACGACATCCTTGTGAGGAGAGATGTCTGAAGTTCTGCACTCGAGATGCTCGATTGATCATAAGGAAGGGTTACAGGCTCGTTGCCTTGGGGGGTTATGGGCGCACTAATATTAAGCATGGGCATTTTACCCGTACGGGTCGGGTTACCCACCCGACCCGACTTTTTAGTCGGGTCGGGTCCATATATTCGTCTTGACTAGTGCTCGTGGGTCGAGTAGTGTATACCCGCTCGGGTATTTTGTTAACCGGGACCCGACCCGGGTGTACAATATCGGGTATGTGCTACCCGTCGGGTCGAGTAAACCCGACCCGAGTTCGGGTCATGAACTCGTTTTCGTGTTGGGTACATTCTTACCCGAAGCGATCAGGTTAGGTTAGGGTTACGTTTTGGGGGAGGTCGTCGAAGTTTGGGGCTTTCAAACTTGGAAACACAGGCCCACTCGTGGCTCTTCACATCGCACAACACCCTCGCTATTCAACCTACTCGTCGCCAGCCTCCTTGACGTCCCTTAGCCTGCAGCAACACTACTACTAGATTACATCATTAGTTAGGTACTAGACTCTAGATTCACTCTCTCACCGCATCAACAACTTAACATTACAATACAAAGATCCACGCTTCCATGTGATAAGTTAACCGTAGCGCCTAGTCCGCCAGGAAATACGTTTAGAGTAGTTTTAGCCCTTACTTGTTCAATTCAGGGGAGCTCGCCATCACGCCCGCCACTACCGCCACCCCACTCCATCCCGCGACTTCGCGCGCGCATTAGCGCACACCACACAAGGCGATTGAGAGGAACACACAAGGCCGATTGTACGAAACTAAGGCTCCTACTATAGTAGTTCTAGAGAAGCTTCTATCCAGAGCTAAGAACCTTCCCAAAGACACGTCACCCCCCTGGCTAAATTCGCAGGGCCGATCTGACCACTCGCCTGGCGTCATTAGTCCGTGGAATCTCTTCCAATGCATGCTCTTCGTGTGGCAAATGTGGCAGCGTTGAACGCACAGTCCCACGCCATCTAGCTCCAGTGCACGCAGGGGAGCGCTACTAAAAGCGCACAGTGCGACACCCGCGCTCCAGCCTCCAAGATCCAGCACGCGCCAACACGCACCATATACCCACACCTGCAGCTTGAACAAGCATCATGCTCGACAGTGCTACTCAGGCGGCTGTCGTGTCAGGAGGGGCGGATGCTACGGCAGACATTGAGGGGAACGACTCTGGGTGGGTAACGATTCCCCTTCAACCATGGGTTGCGGGGCAAGCGCCTGCTGAAAATGACGTAGATGGTGCGTGCGTGCCTACAGCAGAGGAGGAGGCAGCGGCAGCGGCAGATTCAGCGGGTGTCTCAGCTGGCGAGAACGAGGTGGAGGTGGTGGAGGAGGAGGAGGAGGAGGAGGAGGAGGAGGAGGAGGAGGAGGAGGAGGAGGAGGAGGAGGAGGAGGAGGGGGCCGGGGAAAACATTGTAGGACGCGGAAGAAGGAGTGCATAGGGACGAGGTCGGGGAGGGGGGCGTGCTGGCCGGGGGCAGGGTTGTTCAAGCAAAGGATCAGCTGCTCTTCATGGTGAGAGGCGCGTCAGCGGATTGGTAGAGTTGCACAAGAGGGTGGAGATGGGAGAGCGAAGGGGGCAGCCCCAGTAGAGGCAGGGCCCTCACATGCTGACACACAGCACAACGATGGGGGTGGGGGGACGCCGTTGCGAGCTGGTGGCACGAGTCGTGGCGGAGGGACGTCAGGGGGCAGGCGGTGTAGGACGAAGCGTGCGAGGGAGGAGACGCCGACAGATCCTCTTGTCGAGAACTTGGCTGGAAAATCCTACTCGGGGTTACTAGTGGGAATGTTTTGCGACATGGTAGATGATTGTCGTGCGTGTCGTAAATGTGGGGACTTGCTTTCTTGGGGGTCGGGTAACACCAGCGCAGGGTGGAGGCACGTGAAGCGCAAACGTTACACCTAGTCCGCGGTATTTTAACCACGCCAAAATGGGTAGCAGGGTTTGGATTATCTGGGCGTGGTGAAGATAAAGGTGCAAAATTTGGGTCACTATTTTCACCCCCAAATATATGAACAGCATGGAAAGTTTTGACATTACCCCTCAAAAGGAACACTGTGGACCTTTTGGCCATCTAGAATGTTCGAGTATCAGAAAAGCAAAAGCATCGACAGTGGCGATTCTCTCGTGAATAGTCAGATGAAAAAGTTGCTTGCCCCACGCACGGCACCAGCTGAAACATCGAAAAAAGGTTCAGCAATTCCCCAGCTTGGTTCGGTCAAGTGTGAACAGTGATTTCTGGCCACCCAACGGAAAACGCCCAGCATGCCGACAAACGTGGTTAAGATACCGGCGGTTAATTTGCCGCGGACCAGGTGTACCCTAACGTGCAGGTTTGGGTTCGTCGGCTCTTGGATCCGGCGAAGCCAACGGGTCTGCAGTTCCCTCTTGGGGGTTATGGGATGGATGGGAAGGGCCCTGTCGTGCCAGATGGGGATGGAGCATGGGAACACGCGGCAAGCTGGCCGAACATCCCAGCCACGGCTACGGGTGGAACTGCGGAAGGGGTGGGGGGGGGCACGAATGGTGGGAGTCGTGCAGCCAGCATGTCCGCGTACATCACCCCCAGGGTGCAGGAGTAGGAGCTGCGCTCCGCCCTCGTCGAGTTGTTCGCCGACGCCGACCTGCCATTCCGCCCTATCGATCGGCCATCGGTGAGTCCTTGTTCGGCTCCATTATCGCATTGTGCGAATCATTGTCAGTACAAGCATGTGGCGTATCCATTCCTCGTGATATAACTTGCTCTTTACTCAATTCCCATCCTTGTTATACATGTCATTCATTGTTCAGGGTGCGTTGTGCTCATTGTCCATTCCATCCCACAATAGTTCCGTCGATTCGTCAAACTGCTGAACCCCGGGGCCGAGGGGTTGCTAGGGACGCGTTATCAATTGGCATGGGACATGCAGGCATACGCAGATGCCGCCAGGGCAGAGTTGAAGCAGGAGCTGATTGGTGATGGTCTCGCTGGGTGGCTGTCGCTGAGTACAAACATCTAGACCAGTGAGAACCCCCTTGTTTTATGGTCGTCACAGTGCACAGTGACTTCTTGCTACGGCAGCACATCCTGGATTTTTCTGCAGTGGGAGGGCTCGCACACCGCGTCGCCGATAGCAAAGACCCTTGAGGGCATTCTGGCGGAGTGGGGACTGACCGAGATGCTGTTCGCTGTCACGACAGATAATGCAGAGAACAACAACAAGGCCATGCGCATGCTTGCAGGGAACCCAGCAGAGGGCGCTGAGTCGAGGATGGCGTCTCCGCTGTTCGACGGAGATCGGCACGTACGGTACGTGAAACGACGTGTAACACTGATGGTTCTGATTTGTCCCTGCATTGCCGCCGTACCATGGGCCACCCTTCGCCTACAACCATGTTTATTTCAACCTCCTCTCCCCTATGAGTGTGTGCCATGCTTGCATAGCTCCATCGCACATGTCATGAACATTGCAGTGCAGGCTGCATTGAAGGTAGATAATGTGTCAGAGGCGTTGAAGCGTCTGCGCGCGGTGTGTTCGTTCGTCGGGTGGTCGGTTCAGCGCTCGGAGCACTTTGCCCGGCAGCAGCGCATCTTGTTGCGCTGTCGTGATGATGCACGCGTGCTTCATTTGATTGGCGACTCGCCGACGCGGTGGGGGTCCACGTACGACATGATTGTCCGCGTGTTGGAGCTGCAGCAGGCTCTGGCCCTGTTCCTCATGAGGACGGACGTGACTATTGGTGGTGGTGGTTGTGGAGTGACTGTAGTGATGGGCTGGTTTGGTGGTTGGTGTGTTGTGACTGTAGTAAAGGTTCTGTAACGGGACTGGTTTGTGAGAATGAGAACGAGAATGAATGAACTATGAAATGAAGTGAGTACAAATATGAAACCCTAATTGGTTGTACCCCCTATGGGATACCCCACTATAGCCTACATAACAGCATAAGCTACAATGTTCTGACACACCCCCATAGGCAAAGTGGGGGAGAACAAGGGGTCACAAGACCAGTCAAGCAAAGCAAAGCAAAGGAAAGCTCAGGGTGGATCACAAAGTCACCACACAGTCCGAGCACAGGGTCAAGGCCACACGGCCAGTTCACATGCAAGAGTACACACATATATATAAAGCTAGACAAGCAAGAGCAGGTATATATATATGTGAGAGTACAAGCAAGGTCAAGAGGAGAGCAAGTGAGGCAAGACGGGCACAAGACCCAGCTGAGTGCAGAAGCGCTGATGATCACAAGGCGGAAGTGCCTTGGTGAAGACATCAGCAGTGTTGGCCTCAGAGGCCACGTACGCAAGCCGCAACTGTCCACGTTGCTGTAGCTCACGAGCAAGGAAGTAGCGGAGAGCAATGTGCTTTGTTCTGTGCTCCAGTCGCTGCTCTCGACACAAGGCCAGCATGGCCTTGTTGTCTACGTACAGGACTGGAGGAGAACGAGGCGGCTCTCCAAGGTCGGTCAGCAGGTAGGTGAGCCAGCGAAGCTCCTGTGCAGCCATGGCCCCGGCGTAGATCTCAGCCTCACAACTCGAGCCAAGAACAGAAGACGAGCGAGTAGCCCGCCACGAAACAGAGCCGGAACCAAGGCTGAAGGTGTAACCCTGTGACGACCGCTGCGTAGCCTGGTCGTCAGCCCAAGAAGCGTCCGCGTGCCCAGTGAGGACCACTGGACTCCGCCCTCCAAGCACTAGCCCCATGCCCGACGTACTGCACAAGTAGCGCAACACCCTCTTCGCTGCAGCCATGTGCTCTGGTCTGTGTCTCCCAGGAGCAACATAGCGTGCAAGAATGCTAAGAGGGTATGCAAGGTCAGGTCGTGTGCAGGTCATCAGGTACATGAGGCAGCCAACAAGCTCTGGGTACGGGCCACTCGACTCTACGGACTCATCCGAAGGCAGAGCTGAGAGCGAGTGGCGAGTAGACAGAGGAGTGGCCTGAGGCGAGGAGTACGTGAAGCCGAAGCGCTGAAGGACCTGCTGCACCATGTGTGACTGAGTCAGGGTAATGGTGCGGCGTGCTCTGTCCCGGGTGATCTGCAAGCCAAGGTAGCTACGCAGTTCACCCAGGTCTGTGCACGTGTGTCTCTTCTGCAGCTCGGACTTCACGTAGGCGAGTCCAGCAGTGTCAGCTGTGGCAAAGACCAAGTCGTCGACGTACACGAGGATGTAGAACGGCGGCAGAGAGGTGTCGGTGCGTAGAAACAGCGACGGGTCGGCAGTAGAAGGAGCAAACCCAAGAGCCGCAAGCGTAGTCCTCAGTGTGTCGTGCCACTCACGTGGCGCCTGGCGGAGACCGTAGACTGGACGCCGGAGACTCCACTGGGTACCAGGAGGGAAAGACCCAGTGAAGCCAGGTGGGCGACGCAGCCAGATCTCCTCGTGCAGGCTGCCCTGCAAGAAAGCTGTGCTGAAGTCAAGAGAGTGCAGCTCGTAGTCACGGTGAGCAGCAACGTGCAGTAGTACCCGAAGAGTGGTCATCTTCGGGGTGGGGGAGAAGGTCTGAAAGTAGTCAACTCCCTGCCGCTGACTGAAGCCACGAGCCACGTAACGCGCCTTGAAGACAGGCGGAGAACCCGGCGGCCGCTTCACCCTGAAGATCCACATGCCACTGACGATGTTCGCCCCAGGAGGGGGGACAGCGTCAACGTAGGTGCCTGTGGACTTCCAGGAAGCCATCCCTGCTGCTGCTGGCGCGAGCCACCACCGGAGCCACTCCTCTGCAAAGACCCGCGACCAGCTCCACCGCCACCCCCACCGCCTCCACCGCCTCCGCTGCCTCCACTGCCGCCGCCGCCTCCACCGCCTCCTCCACCGCCGCCTCCTCCGCCACCTCCGCTACCACCGCCACCGCCGCCGCGGCCTCCGCCTCCACTGCCGCCACCGAACCCCCCACCCCCACCTCCACCTCCACCGCTACCCCCACTCCCCCCACTGCCTCCACCTCCACCTCCACCGCCCGCTCCTCCAGCTCCCTTGCCCCCCTTGCCCTTGCCAGGGCGGCGTCTCCCGCTAGGGGCAGACGCCGCACCGACCGACTCAAGACCAAGAAGGTCGGCCGAAGCAGCAGAGGCAACAGAGGGCAGCAGGGGGGAGGGAGAACACCCCTCAAAGATGGGGGTGCGCGGGTCACCTCGAGAGGCTCCTACAGCGACTATGCTCTTTTCTATCGCGAGGAGGGCCTTCTCGAGGAGGTCTACAGTGAGTGTGGTGGGACAGACTAAGAGAAAGTGGTCCCTGACTACTCGAAGGGAGTCAGGGAGGCGAGTGACTAGGAAGTACAGAGTGATGTACATGGGGGGGGGGGTTCGCGGTGCAGAAGTCAGCAGGAAGTGCAGTGCGGGTAGCGAGTGTCACTAGTGCGGAGGTGCGTAATGAGGTCAGCAACGGTGGGAAAAGAAGCAAGGTCAGGGAAGAGGTACGGCAGCATGAGACGGCTCAGTGCAGCAGTGGAAGGGGAGGAGTAGCGCGCGACTACAGCGGCGTACAAGGTCTGAGCACTCTTGTACTGACTAAAGTGCGCACGCTCGGAGGTAGGGAGGTGGCGACGCACAGCAAGACGTGCAGCAGCATCGCGCGTGGCCCACTGGGAGCGAACAGTGGCGTCAGCATCAGCAGCAGGGGCAGGGGAAGCGCCAGAGGTGAGGTCAAAGAGAGAGAGGCCGTCCGCCCTATCGCACTGTAAGAACAGCTGTAGGTCATCTACCCAGACCTCAAAGTCAATGGCCCGACCCTCAGCGTCAAAAGTGAGGACACTAGGGGTAGCCATGACAGCAGTAGACCAGCAGTGCAAGGAGTAGGGGAAGAGCACGCAGTGACAGAGGGTCTGTGCTCACCGGACAGGGCTGCTCGGGCGGCTCGGCTGCAGGGCGGCTCGGCCGCTGGGCGGCTCGGCGGCTGGGCGGCTCGGCGGCTGGGCGGCTCGACAGCTGGGCGGCTCGGCGGCTGGGCGGTCGGCTGCACGGCGGCTCGACTGGTGGGCGGCCGGGCGGCTCGGCTGCAGCGCGGCTCGGCGGCGGGGCGGCTCGGCTGCTCTGCTGCTGGGCGGCTCGGCTGCGCTGCTGTTGGGGCGGCTCGGCTGGGCCGCTGACGTAGGGCGGCGGGGCCGCTGAAGAAGGACGGCGGGGCCGCTGGGTAGTGAGGCGGCGGGGCCGCGAAGACGGGCGGCGGGGCCGCTGCAGAGAAGCGGCGGGGGCCGCAGTGAAGGGCGGCGGGGCCGCAACGAGAGAGGCGGCGGGGCCGCAGCGAGTGAAGCGGCGGGGCCGCGAAGTCGGACGGCGGGGCCGCTGAGTAGGGCGGCGGGGGCCGCAGTGAGAGGCGGCGGGGCCGCAGCGAGAGAGGCGGCGGGGCCGCGAAGACGGGCGGCGGGGGCCGCTGAGACGGGTGGCGGGGCCGCAGTGAGTGGCGGCGGGGCCGCAAGCGAGAGATGGCGGCGGGGCCGCGAAGACGGGCGGCGGGGGCCGCAACGAGAGAGGCGGCGGGGCCGCAGAAAAGGGCGGCGACGGGCCGTAGGCGGCGCGAAGCCGCAGGTAAGGGCGGCGACGGGCCGGGGTGGCTCGAAGCCGCAGGTAGAGGCGGCGCGAAGCCGCGGGAAGGGCGGCGACGGGCCTGGGCGGCGCGAAGCCGCAGGTAGGGGCGGCGCGAAGCCGCCGGTGAGGGCGGCGCAAAGCCGCGGGTAAGGGCGGCGACGGGCCGGGAAAAGGGCGGCGTGCCGCAGCCGCTAGGGCGGCTCGACGCGACCGTAAGGGCGGCGCGACGGGCCGCTAGGTGCGACTCGACGGGCCGCTAAAAAAAAAGGCAGGCGCGACTCGAGGCGCGCTTCGGTGGGCCCAAGGAACAGTCCCTAGGAGGGGACCTGCTCTGATTCCATGTGAGAATGAGAACGAGAATGAATGAACTATGAAATGAAGTGAGTACAAATATGAAACCCTAATTGGTTGTACCCCCTATGGGATACCCCACTATAGCCTACATAACAGCATAAGCTACAATGTTCTGACATGGTTTGGTGGTCAGCATGTTTTGACTGTAGTGAACGACATGGTGGGGGGCTGGTTTGGGGGGTGGTGTGTTGTGACTGTACTGAAGGGTTCTGTTAGGGGCTGGTTTGGTGGCTGGCGTGTTGTGACTCTAGTGAAGGGCATGGTAGGGGGCTGGTTTGGTGGTTGGTGTGTTGTGACTGTAGTGAAGGGTTCTGTTAGGGGGCTGGTTTGGTGGCTGGCGTGTTGTGACTGTAGTGAAGGGCATGGTAGGGGGCTGGTTCGGTGGTGTGTGTGTTGTGACTGTAGTGAAGGGTTCTGCTCGGGGGCTGGAAACTTGGATAATTTATTGTATTGTGATTGTTTAGAATGACCCTAAAACATTCATCCCCTACTGTACTCTTCTTCCATCCACCAACCCCCCCCTCTCCCCACCCCCCCGCCAGCTACGCGAACAGCTGGATGGCCTTCGGGTAATCGACGTGCACTGGGACGCTCTCGTCGAGCTCAAGGAGTTCCTTGAGCCGTTCGACTCCATCACGAAGGCAGCCGAGGGTTCCTTGTACCCCGCGGCTGCTCCGGTCGTGCCGTTGTACAACTAGCTGCTAGACAAGCTGGAGATTTCCTATCGTAAGGACGGCGTCACTCCCCTCCGACAGGCCCTCGTCTTTGCAGCCCTAGCCAAGCTGAAGAAGTACAAGTACAGGGAGAAGGAAGATTTGGTGATTGCCACCTTCCTGGACCCCCGCTACAAGACCGTCTTCTTCAAGCTGCCGAAGTGGGAGGCGTGCAAAGTTGCGCACGTCACGGAGTTGGGGGGGGTGTGCTAGGAGGGTGCAGGATGTAGATGAGGGGTCGGTGATACGGCCGGTGCGTGTGCGTTTGGCCGAGTACCAGGCGCGAGTGATCAGCTGCCGGCAGGGTGGAGAGGTCACGAGCGAGTTGGGGGGGGGGGGGGGCACTGGGCCCAGCGGCGTTACTGGTGGGACCTTGGGCACGATGGGTGCTGCTGGAGGTGGGGGAAGGGGCTTTGAGCACTCCAACTTTGACGAGATGGATGCTCTGGAGGCAGCTGCAGGGGGGGGTGGGGAGGACACAGGATGAGGTGGACCGGTATTTAACTGAGCCCAGGCAGAGAGGTGGTTGCCCGTTGGCTTTCTG